TAATGGCCAAAAGCAAAGAGAGAAAGGGGCAGCACAGGGCTCTAGCACACCCATTAAGGGCAGCTCCACAGTGCTGAGAAACTGCACCTGAGGTTTTACCTCTTTATATTTTTATAAATTTGCAGTGTTAAGAACTGGAGAGCTATCCCAAGAACACATTGCCTTGGTCTTCTGGACAAAGAATTAACAGATTACACTGGGAAGTCATCCTTTTCTTCTCTCTCCAGGGCAAGAAAATGTGAGAGAAGTAAGAGTAATTTTAAAATAATTTTCACTCCTGCTAATTGTAATTGTTAGAGTTGTTCTAATTCTAATTGCTCCAGTAAAACCAAGTTAAAATGGTTTCATTGTGCAAGTTGTAGTTATAATTAAGCAAAATTTAAGGAAAAATCATAATTTGATAGATAGTTACATTTGTGGAAAATCATGCTGTTTTGACCCAAAACTCAAAAGGACAAGTATATGTAGCAAATTAAATGCAAACTATAAATAGAATTTGAGTGTTTAATTACAACTCCTAATAAACTACATGACTCAATAAAGATAAACAAATACAGAACAAAAATCATGAGATATTTTTGAAAATATTAAAGACATTTCCTATAAATAAAATCTCATGATAATAGACCCTTGCTTACTGCCATATCAGTGGATCAATGGAAATACAGAATTCCCCTTCAAAATGTGCTGGACTACCTTAGAAGGTCTTGGATGCATGGACACTTAAAGCTTAGGGTTATGTCCAGAATATTTTTTGAGATGTTTGCAAAGATGCTTTAATAGCAACAAACAAGTAAATGATCATGGAACATTTGAATTCTTGGTGTTCTCAGAAGAAAAAAGAAGCCTCCACTCTTCCCTCCCCTTATCTATGCTGCCCTACTGCAGAGCTCAAAGCAGTGCACTCTTGCAAGTTCCCTTCTCACCGTGATGTCTTTGTGCAGACCTGCACTAAACCTCTTCAATACAGATGAACACAAAATACCAGCCTATTTCTCATTATGCAAGCAAGCTCCCACATACAAATTTGAAAGGAAAGCAGAGAACAGCTGCATTCCACTTTTTTTGGCATGAATAGGGCCTTTAATATCAATACTGAAATGGAAGTGATTAGTACTATTTACTGAATTTTAAAGCACCTTGGGATGTTCAGCCAGACAGTTTATTTGATTGGCTGAACATGCGGACACCTCATTTGGAGGAAAATATGTTGGCAGAGGCAAAGAAACAGCTATCTGGCTGCTTCACACACATTTTCAAAGGATTGGAGCTGTTTTTTTCCTGCTTTAAAATGATGCTCTTACAAAGAATAATATGTTCTTTCAGGCATTTGGGGTCGTTTGTACTGAAGTACTCTCTTATCTTTAAAATCAGGAATATCAAAGACAATCATTTCCATTGGCTCTGCTTACCGAAAGCTTTTACCCATGGTGCTTCGAGGTAGAGCAACCTGTTTGAAATTACCCATTTAGGTGGTGGAATACTGACATGATGAATATTGCAGGTTCATACTCCTGTAGAATATACTGATTTGATTCAGTTCTAATATTAAATGCTTGTTGGTGAATGATTTGCTTTTAAAAATACATCCCATCTTTTCATTTTCTCTTTATTTGTAGTTGACATTTGTATCTACAGAATATTCAAGCTGGTCTAGAAACCTGAAAGACAAAGCTCTACATTCTAAGAAGTCAGTGTTAGAAGGATGCCACCTTGATAAACATAATGACAAGAAATGGGACTTGTTCTCTGAATCTTGAGAGCCCCAGAGCCCCATGTGTTACATATTTGGCTGAAGTGTGACTTCCTGGTAATGGAGTCTGCAGGAGGTGAAGCTTTGTAAAGGGTGTTGCCTCTTTGCTTCTGACTTTACCTGGATCTATTTAAACAAAATTTCATTTAAGTCCTGCTATAATTTAAAAACTGGCAGTTCGAAACCTATTGGAGTTCAAGCTTCAAGCTGAAGATCACAAAAGCAAAGCATCTGGTCACTAGATCTTACTCTATCTCAGACTGAAAGGGTTGATCCTGTCTCCATGAGCTCACAACAAACCTCAGACTGTTGCCTCTCCTCAGCTTAGCTGGAGAATCCTGAGACTTCAATGTTTGCCTATCCTTAGTCTGGCTGGAGAATAAATGTCTGATACTGACTACTGAAGACCCTGCTCCTATCTTTCATAGCTCTCTAGTGCTGGGATTAAAGGCATGTGATCCCAGGTGCTGAGATCATCTTTGTATGAACTGTTTCTCTTTAGGACTGGATCAATCTGTGTAGATCTGGGGGGCCTCCGGCTCACAGCCATCCAACTTCCTCTTAATCCTGAGTCCTAGGATCAAAGGTATATACCACAACCTCCTAAATTTTGGCTGCTGGGATTAAAGGTATGTATCTCCACTGCCTGATCTCTAGAGTGTGAGACTGGCTGACTTTGCTTTCTGAATCCTCAGACAGCCTTTAATAAATCATAAATATATATCACTGCAGGAGAAAATAAATTGAAAAAATTTGCTCAAATATTTGAGCACCCTCAACCTCTGAATCAATCAAATCAACAAAATAAACCATCAGAGTTGGAAAGAATTACCCGATGACAAATACTTATCTCCAACATTTTTAACAGATTGCATCTCACTATTTTTGTTACCAAAGGAAAATCTTTCAGTCTAGTTTTCATACCTTGCAGCCACTCGTGCTTCTTTTTCTAAAAACTTAAAACTGCATCAAGCACACTCTCAAATCACAATGAAATCAAATTATATGCTGATAAGAGAAATTGTGGAAATATCTAAATTCCCCCAAATTAAAAAGTACTCTGCTAAATAAGGAGGCCCACCTATATCTGAAGAGGAAAAGTGGGCAGTGGACCTCCCATGGATATCTGCTAGCCAAGGTATATGAAATTGCAGTGAGATTAAGCACCTCCTTTTCTATTAAGGCTGGACGAAACAATCGTATAGGAGGAAATGTCTGAGGCAATATGGTAGGAGGAATGGGTCCCCCAAAATCAGACAACAGAGTCAGAAACAGCCTCTGATCTCACTGTTAGGAACCTCACAAGAAGATATTACACAATTGTAACTTATATGCAGAGGGCCTAGGTCCATCGAATGCCAGCTGCCTGGTTGTTGGTTCAGTCTCTGTGAGCCCCTATGAACCCAAGGTAGTTTGTTCTGTGGGTTTCCTTGACCCCTCTGGTTCCGAAGATCCTTCCTTCCTCTCTTCCATAGGATGTCCAGGTTCCTTTTAATGTTTGGCAGTGGGTATCTGCATCTGGGTGAAGTCTCTCTGATGACTAGGCACCAATCCCAGCACATCTTGTAGGCAAGACAAATGGAAAGAAATCCCAAACACTTGCTTTAAAGCAATGTTGTACACTGCTGCACAGAAGAAACACAGGTTTTGGATCCTAGTGGACCTTCTTGCTTTGGAAAATGTGGGGAGAGGAACATTGTGACTGTGGCACAGGGGAGGCTATCATTGTTCAGGAGGAATGCCTGAGATGAAGAGGGGCTAAGGCTTCCCGGTTTCCCTTTCAGAGAGATGTCCCTAGTGATCACTCTCTCCAAGTAGGCCTCACTGTGCCCTTCCTCTAGCTCCACAAAGTGAAACCAACTCTTCAATACAAAACCCCTTGGAAGACTTTTTAGATTCAGGCTATACCTACACAGAGGAAATGTTCATATGAAGCAAGGAAAAAGGCTCAGCCCAAGAATAGTCCACACTGACCACTCACTTTAACTATAAAATTAAGAGCAAACTAAAGCCAAAGTGAACAGAAAGAAACAATATAAATTAATTTAGAAATTAAATATAAATTAGAAAATTGATAAATTCAATATCACTGAAAACCTTCTCTCTGAATTAGACAACAAGAGTGGCAAAACTTTAGCAAGCTATGAAGACAGAACTTAGATCATTAAAGTAAGGAATTAAAAAGAGGGAATGATGTTGATTCTCAGGAATAAAATATACTGTAAGTAATTATTTTCTATCTTCAAAACCTAGAGGAATAAAAAGAGGGAATGATGTTGATTCTCAGGAATAAAATATACTGTAAGTAATTATTTTCTATCTTTTCAGCCTAGATGGGATGGACAGTTTCCTAAAAAGACAGAAACATGGCTAACAGGGATGAAGAATCCATATAAATAAAACAAAATAGTCTTATAATAACTACTGAGATCAACTTAGTCATAAAGGGGAACACATTGAGAAATTCATGACTGTAGGTCAAATGTTTCCCTTCATATGAAAGACAGACCAAGAAAGCAAAACTCCTAAAAGCCAGTTCATTCACTAGGGATAAATATTGGTTCTACTGCCAGTGGTCCCATACACTGTCCAAGTCCCTCAACTGACTCCTACATTCAGGGGATCAAGTTTGGTCTTATGCAGGTTCCCTAGCTGTCAGTCTAGAGTCCCTGAGCTCTCACTTGCTCAGATCATGTGTTTCCGTGGATTTCCCCAGCATGGTCTTGACCTCTTTGCTCATCACTCCTTCCTCTCTGCAACTGGATTCTAGGAGTTCAGCTGAGTGCTCAGTTGTGAATCCTTGCTTCTGTTTCCATCAGCTACTAGATGAAGGCACTATGATGGCATTTAAAGTAGTCATCAATTTCATTATAGGGCAAGGACATTTAAGGTAGACTCTCCACTATTCCCTATGGAGGGATACTCTCTCAGCCTAGACACAGGGCCTCAGTCCTAGTCCAAATGATGTGACAGACTTTGATGATCCCCCATGGGAGGCCTCACCCTCTCGGAGAAGTGGATGGAGGGGGGGTAGGATGTGAGATGCTAGGGGGAATGGGAGGACAGGAGGGAGAGGAAACTGGGATTGGTAAGTAAAATACGATTGTTTTTAAGTAAAAATAAAAAATAAATAAAAACAAAACAAAACTAGATCAACAGACCTTCGAATAAAAGCAAACAATGCAGCCATGCACAATATTGATTATTCACATTAACAAGCGGAATTAACTCAGAGTTTAACAACACAAGATGAATTAATGGAACATAGCCAATTAATAGAATGAAAATGATAAGTCATACCCTGAACTTTGCTCAATCTAATACACTTTCATGATGGAAAGGACACAAAATCTTAGAAGACAACTTGAATTTGATCAAGGGCATATACATAAACCGATGCTAATGTATTCATTAATGGAAAAGAAAATTCCTCCCCTAGTTTAGAATAATAAAATGTCATTTCCCTCCCTCCACTTGTATTCTGTGCTGTGTTAGAAAGCCCTAGAAACAGGAAGTGGATTAGTACTTCCAGAAGCTGGAGGACCAGAGAATGGAGAACAATTGGTATGGACATGGGTGACATTTTGGAAAATTAAATAGCATAGCATCACATAGTAGCAATAATCTCACAATGCTGCAATTATACTAGCAGCCACCAAAATATACATATAAAGAGCAAGTTGCTTGCTACCTGAATTATTTTCCAGTTGAAAACAAAAGAACAAATATCACAGTCATCTAAAGCTTTCAATATAATTTGTTTAATAAAGATTCTAACAATTAGCATAATGCAGATAAATGTATTTAAATAGTGCATATCATCATGTTTCTGTGTCATGTGCTCTGAAAATTATACCTTAAATAAACACTATGAAAATGGCACAGGGACAGTTCATAGGTATATAGTCAGGACTGGTGTGACTATTACACATGACTGCACTTCTTTATATATTTCTATAAATTCTATAATTAATCAACATATGCATGCAGATAATGCTTCTAGGATACAATAGGACAAAAAGGAAAAACCATCAACTACAGGCAGAAAAATAAAAAAACAGTAAATATATAATTCACAACATAATTTAAATATTTGAAAACACAACAGTAAATTAAATAAGCCTAAGTCATTTAAATTTATCCATAAAATGGCAAAGAATGTCAAATATAACAACATAAAATTTATGAAAATTTCCAGACGGAAATTCAGGAAAAAAGGAAAAATATTAAATGAGAACTCTGAAATAAAAATTAAGTTGGTTACTAATATAAATTGAAATGCTACAGAAATTAAAGCTCAATGGGTACTGTAAATAAGGAGAGAAATAAAAAGGTAATCCTCCAAAAGTGCAAAGAAGACTTTTATATCTCTTGTAACAAAAGCTCAAACTATATAAATAAAAATGAATTAAAAGGAAAAGTGGACAGGATTTGCTTGTGATATTTTGCTTCTATTTTTCAAACAGATTGAGTGGGAAAAAAACAATAAAATATAGCTTTGTGACGTACAGCTTACATATTAATCCAATGAAAAGGATATTAGGTAAGAAAAGCCTTTGCATAGAAGCCAGAAAAGGTACAATCTAGAAATAATAGATAGTCAAATTTCACTCAAAAGAAGTTAAAATCAAAATGTATATAAGAAGACATTTTCTAAGGGATGCACAACGATTTATGATGTAGTAAAGAAACACAACTTTTACATATTGCCTAAGTCAAAATATTTAATATCATGAAATGGTAAATGTACATAAAAGTTTATACATACATATACAAATAAATCTCAATTATTTACATATGGTTGTTAACACAATATTTTAGCTATATGATAACATGTTGCATAATTATTAATAAATACGTAAATATTATTATATTCATAAGTTGTAGAGAGAGACAGAAACAGAGAAACAATAACAGACAGGAAGAAAATAGGAACAGTATGTCAAACTATGAAGTAGTTTAAAATATGAAAAGACATTCAACTACTTTAAAAATAATCTTTAACATCAGAACCATTTTTAAATACTTTTATTAATTTTTGAGAATTTCATACACTGTAATTAAATCAAATTCACTCCCAACTTCTTTCCTAACTCCTTCCAATCCACTCACACTTTTCTATCACTCCCTGGCTTTTTGTCCTCCTTCTGAGACAAAATGGACAGTTGATGTCTTCTGAGGAGAGTCAGTTTTCTCTAAAGGATTGCCATGATTCAGTGTATAGTTGCACACCCAGAAGTATATTGGCAACATGCATGGCGGTTCATGAGTTATACATGATCTTATCTCTTGTTATATATGCCAGGGA